CATTCCCATTGTCCTGTCACTCAAAGTCCTTGTCCAAGATCCCTCTCCAGCTCTCTTGGAGCCCTTTAGGCACTGGAAGGTGCTCTAGGGTCTAACTGGAGCTTTCTCCTCTCCAGGCTGAGCAGCCCCAGCTTTCCCAGCCTGACTCCTGAGCCGAGGGGCTCCAGCCCTCACAGCAAATTCGTGGCCTTATCTGGACTGACTTCCAACGGATCCACATCTTTCCTGTGCTGAGGACCCCAGAGTAGGACACAGAGCTCTGGGTTTGGGCATCACCAGAGCAGCGTAAAGGGGAGAATCCCCTCCCTCGACCTGCTGCCCTCTCCCCTTGTGATGCAGCCCAGCACATGGTTGGCTGCCTGGGCTGCCAGCACACATTGCCAGGTCCAGCTTTTCACCCATGAGAACCCCCCTGCCCTCCTCCACACAGAGCTGCTCTCAGTGACTTCTCCCAGTCTGTTCTCAGGTCCAGGACTGGCCCACATGAGTTCAGAGATCACCCCAACATGTTAAACACACAGTCCTTTCACACCATAGCCCGGGATTCTCTGATCCCCAACCAAACACTTCCACAGTTCAGTCCTGCGCTGCTCTGAAGCATCTCAGGCACCAAAGAGCTTCAGCAGGCCCTGTGCATCAGCTCATACTTTCAGTCAACCTACTGCTTTTGCTTCAGTAGTTTGTCTTTCTTTTTTAAAAATCAATCTACTCTTTTCAGAAACAAGTTACTTTTTATATAACCTACATATAAAGAAATATACAAAGAAAAGAAAAATAAAAAATTACTTGTATTTAAGGTTGTATTACTACCACTAGGCTCAGCATAAATTTTTTGGGTTTGCCTTTCCTTTTGATCCAGAATCTTTCACTCTTCTCTGCCATGAATTCTTAAATTCTGAGATTTGTCTGCGATTTCTGCACTGGATAACTGGAGAAACCTGCCACTGCTCACAAATCCCAGTAAATGCAACTGTGACAGGGAAAATGAACAGGACTGAAAAGACATTGAAGTCTGACAATAAAGCGTTGGAAAGTGTGGGGTTTTCAGACAGGCATGTTACTAAATTATCTCTGAAGAATGACTGAAATTGCCCAGACTCACCGGTACTTCTTCAGTTTTCTCTTCTCTTTTTTCTTCCTCTTCATCAGTTTCTGCAGCAGCTCCATCTTCCTCATCACTGCTGGAGGACTCCAGGATTTCACTGATGTCCATTTTCCAGTTCCTAGGAACACCCTTGGTGCTGAGAAACGTAGTTGCCTCCTGTAGCCCTACAGAAGAAAGGGCCCTGGCTTTACCTCATCCACAGCATGCAGTCACAAAGCATTTTTAATTTCCTTTTCATCACATTCTTGTAAATCACAACCCCAACTTAAATGGCACCCTGACTTACTTTGCTCTTTTCAAAATATCATCATGTCTTAGATTGCAAAAAAATGAAGAGCACTTCCCAAAGAGATGTGACATCAGTGTTTGGAACAGAGGAAAAACACACCAGTGAGGAAGGGAGTGATGGGACAGGCTGGAGTCACACTTGTACAATGGAAATACCTCGAATTCTTTTGCTTGAAGAGGTGCTCCAAGGGGGAAACAACAGAGCAAAACAAACCCAGATAACCCTAAAATTTGCCCCTCAGTCACAGAAAGAGACTTTAATAAAGGAATCAGAAGAATACCCAGAAGAGGGACATACTGCAATGAACCATTCAGTGCTGCTGGAGAAGAAAAGGCACCAGTTTTTAACAGCTGCTGATAGAAAAACCTCCAGACACTGGTCTCAACTCTCTTTTTCTTTTTTATTTTTTGAAACCATTAGTACCTTTGGTTCCAAAATATTCCCTCGTGGCAAGAAATGTCACAACCCAATTATGTTCTGCACAGGAAAAAAAGTCCCTTTCTTCAATTTATCTCAAACCTGGCATCTGATCTTTTCTTTGGCTGTTCTACAGCTCTTGTACTGTGAAACAGCTATTAAGGAGAAAGTAGAAATCATTATGAGTTACACTAATCAATCAAAACCACCTCAAGCTCTCATTTGTAGCATGTTAAAGCTTTACTTGTTAAGGAGCTGTTCCACACCTTTACTCAAATTAGAGGAACTGCTGTTGTTGAGAGGGTTTTTTTGTTGCTGGGTGGGGTTTCTTATTACAATTTTTAACAAATACATTTTAAATATTTCTCTTTAACAAATTTCATATCCAAAGATTCTCTAATTTATCCCATTTAAAATTATTCACAAAATATCCAAAAGCAACTATCAGAAATCAAGAAGTCATCACTTATCTATAAAAGTACTATTGTATGAAATTATTTCTTTTAATTTACCTTTCTTAGGAGAGGACTCAGATTTTGGTAAGTTTTGAAGATCTAATTCTTTGATGTCTTTTCTTGCTATTGAGTAACTGTAAAAAATTAAGGTTTTGTTATTATTTTTAAAGCACAGAAAAGCAAGCATTTGACTTAGAAAACCAGCAATTTCTAAAATTTTCAAGATTTAGCATCCACCTGCAGGGTCCTTTCTAACAACTAAATGCATAACACACTTGTTATTGTTGTGTAATACAAGAGCAAGTTATCCAGAATAAGTTTCCAATCTTTCTTTGAGATTCAGACATTAAAGTATCCTTAAATAATTAAGAAAAGTTTGTAAAGCTTCTTTATGTTCAATGCTTAAAGTGCACAAATTTGCAAAAGTGAAACACAAAGGCAAAAATCGTTTTCTAAACTGAAAATATTCACACGAATCAACAGCTGCTCTCCAAAGAGGAATCCAGCTAAGAGGGAAAGAACAAGTCCTCTATTTTCAAAATGCATTTCTAGGAACACAGAACGACAGTGAAGCCAATTCCCAGATCTGCACTGACAAACAGTTGATTTTGATTTTTAAATTACACAGCACAACATATGGAAGTTGCTCTGTTCTAAGGTTAAACTGAATATATTTCCTTTTCTTCTTTCATTATTTCACAAAATCTGGAGTAAAACCTCAGGAATTAGAAGCTGCCATTTTCTGAGGTTAAAGCCATAATACCATGGGGAAAAAAAGTCAAACAGAGCAAGAGTAGATGTTTTACCAGCAGCATTCCACCTTCAGTAGGTAAAGAGCCAGGCTCACCTAGAAGGCTGATGGGAAGTGTCTACATTAAGAGGCCAAAATGAATTAAGTCTTCAGGCACTTGGAATACATTTCAGCAATCAAGTACTCACAACCTACTCAAAATCATGGCTCTTAAAAAAAAAAATCACAAATTGTTCACTTTGAAAGGAGAGAAAGAGGGTGGCAGCTGGCCTTTGGCAGGGAAGTTTTTAGTTACAATATGTTGAGACACATGCAATGCAACTAACAATGAAAAGAAATAAAGGGAAACAGCTTTTAAAAAAAACAGTCTTCATACTCTTATAAATATATTATTCCTTAACTAAGACACACATCTCTGTTGCTCCCTGTATTTTAAGAGCAGAGGATGGACCAATAGGATCTTCCTTTCTTTTTGCCACAATCTCGTTCAGATTCTGTAAATATTTTAATGAACAAGTCTCTTTAAATTCTCTTCTTTATTGGAAAAAGTAGATTAAGCCCTTAAAAGCTTTGCTGTTTTGACAGCAATGGACATCATGGCACTGGAGGTAATGAGTCCATCAGATATCCAAACTACTACAACGGACACCCATAAAGACAGTAATTAAGACATTAATGAAAATAATTTAAACCAAAACTCACACTACAAAGGACAGAAATGATCTAAAGAGTAAACACTCCTGGGCGTTTTAGGGTTTTTTTTTTTCTTAAGCTGTTGGTATTTTTAAATGAAGCACCAAAAACTTGACTGGTTCAAGGAATACTCATCACTCCACACAGTGGAAAGAAGGGTGAGGAAGCACAGAAGGAGATGGCTGGAAAAGGACTGCGAAGCCAAATGTGCCCATCCAACATTACAGAACATTGTACCCTTTCCATTTGGAAGAAATGATGTCTTCAGTAGCAATGTGTAATTAGCCTCCCATTTTCTCCCACGTATCTCTAATAAAAGCGAGCGACCACTTACAATTTGGAATCTGCAAAGGATCGAACTAAACACTGGTCCTTTTTCACGGTGACGTCGTCGTTGCAGCTCGGTGACACCACCTGAAGGTTCAAACAAAACACTGTTTTATTGAGGAAAAAAAAAAAAAAAGCTGATCTTCCAAGGAAAGAAAGACAGCAGGAAAACTGCTGTTTTCCCGTTTATTATAATTTCCAGTTCTGGGAAAACAAACCTACTCCAATTTATAGTACTAAGGTCAACGGTAACAAATTTCAAGAAGTAATTTACCCCAAACTATTGACTTGATATGTACAAGCCAAAAAAGCTTAAAATTTAATTTGTAAACACAAAACTTATCTACTGAGGTTCTATCGTGGGATCCTGTTCATTCACTCTGCTTTTTAATTCTTGTTCACACAAAACCTGATTTAAGCATCTATTTAAAAAGCCACAAACCCACTTATTTTATACCAGTTTCTGATGTTTGGCATTTAAACTGAGACATAAGTTGGTTTTTTGGTTTGCTTGGGTTTGGGGTTGTTTTGAGGTGTGGATAACATAAGCTAGTGTGAAATCCAGCACATCTTTCCACAGCAGTATTATCTCTAAGTCTAAAAAAAGCAATAAAAATGTATTTGTATTACCAAAACCAGAACAAGTTTACATTTTGCTCTAGACCACACACAAACAGAAAATGTTACATGCAAATACATGGCCTCCAGTAACTTAATCCCCTAGGTAAGAACCACGTTAAATTAAAATCTGTCATTAATAAAGGGATATACAACAGTCAGAACATGTGCAAAACCACATTTTATATACAGCTGGATAAGCCAGTGTCAACTATTCACCCCACATTACACCCCAATGTTCTCTCTAGAAGGGAAGACAGCTGGAGTCACACAATCAAACACAATCTTAAACTAAGTTAAAAGATTTTAACAACTGAGCTTGTTCCCCTAAGACTCAAAATAAAGGAGTACAGAGTTCAGTAAATAAAATCTGCAAGAATTAACGAACCAAGTCTGTGTGTTTAATGCTCCAAAATACTTTTTTTTAAGCAAACATTCTAATGGGTAACAGAAGATGTGTATTGAGCCTGTCTGACAATACAAAAACGTTTACTACAGAAAGCAACTTTTAACATGTATATATGTGTTTCTGTGCATATGAACAATCTGCAGAGTGTCTGCCTTTACAGTACGAGTCTACTTGGATTTCTTTAATAAGTATTTCTTTCAGCAGTGGCAACGAACAGCTGTACTGACAGTGAAATAAAAATAACCACCAGCACGTACTGCCAGAGTGACTGGCCACTGGTGCAAATGAAAGCATGAAAGAAAGGAGAATTCCACAAAACTGAAAAGTCAAATGAAATATAACTGCTCTTAAATTGCCTGGGAGTGCAAATCCTAACACATCTTATTTTTAGAAGAAAAACATCATCTCGCATGCAGTTTGAAAGACTTTAAAGCCATAAAACTGCAGCTTAGACATAAGTGCTAATCTTTGCTTTCCTCCTCTCCACAGATACTGGAAAACATTTGTATTTTTAGCAAATACAGGAGCAGAGCTGAGCCTGACAACGTTCCCAGCTTTGCTGGAAAAGGAACTTACCAAAGCTGGATACCAGTCTGCCTTCTCTGAATTACAAGTCACACTCACAACCTTGCCAAGCAACTCATCGTTGAGGCGCCTTTTATCTTCATCCTCTTCTTCACTACTTTCTTCTTCCTTTTCATCTTCAGTGCTAAAATATCAAAATGTGCAAGATTTTTAAAGTGTGTGTCTGAAGTTACTACTTGAGAGCAAAACCAGCTTACAACCAGATTTTTCTTCCTATTTTGCAAAGCTTCAAGGAAACAAAGTTAGAATTTTAAGAGCTGAAATCGCTTGAAATACACTTAAATATTAAGTCTTCTTAGTAAGAGGAATTTTGTAGAAATTATTTCCAAGTATTTGTATTTTACAGCAGCATCACGCTGGAATTGGAGACTTGACTCAGGTTTTGACTGTGCACAGACACGAAATAAAGAGAAATGGTCTCTACCCCAGAAATTTAAAAGCACTTTTTTTTCACTTTGTGCAGTGCAAAGGTTAAAAATCCACCATTTCTTATTAGATGAAAGAAGCACAAATGTTCTTAAGCAAAAACCCTTCAATCTGATAATATTGCCAACAGATGATCATGTCTGTAGTACTCAAGTCCACAAGGTGTGCACACAACTCATGTGCTGGAGCATTCAGAGCTCTGCAGCTGCAATGGTGCTGCTTCAGTGACAGCAAAGGACACTAAAGGAAAGGCAAAACTCACACAGGAAGAGAAGATCTTCTCCCTCTATTAGATTTCTTCCCAATAACTGGAGTTCCAAAGTGCTCTGGATTGGTTAGTGGCAGTTGGTCAAGTGTCTACATGGAAAAAAAAGTGAAAAAAATTAGTTTACAATATCTTTTTTTTTTTTAAAAAAAAAGTGAATTAACTACTTAATTTTTATTCCATGTCCATCACTGTCTTACCTCACTTTCTGCAAAGTGCCTTTCTCCCTTCAAGCATAATGAAGTTCGTCTCAAGGTCCTTTCATCTCCATCATCAAAAACTAGGATGAAGCCAAGGAAACACATCAGCACGAGATGATCAGATCTCAGTCCCAACTCTACTGTTTATCTCACAGTCAAGAACATTCCCCAACACAGGACTTTCAGACCTCCATCTACTCATTCTTCAGTTCACAAGCAAAATGAAGGTCAGTACTCAATACTCAGCCTGAGAATGGATTTTCACACAGTTTGAAGCCAGTGAAAACAAGGTTTTTGGGTGCAATAGTCTACCTTGGACATTCTTCTTATCAATACACTGCACATTTCAAACCACAGCCACTGGCTGCCCACCAGTCACTATTAACTAACCATCTCTGGGGTTTGCCTGGTTTTGCTGGGATTTTTCTCACCCTATCCACTTATTTCTTACTTATACTGCTGTTTAATGCTGTACCTTTCCATCCTCCCTCTTGCCACAAGCAATCCCACAGGAAGACAAAGGAATGAAAAGAAAAACAACCGGGGGATAGTTTTTGCTACACTATCAATATCGTCTTACAAACACACCAGGACACTGGAAATGTGAAACTCTAAGTCTGCCCAAATCATAAGGAAAACTTAGTAGACATCCTATGAAATCTCATGTATAAGTGACAGGAAAGCTCCACTGATATCCACCAATATACAGCAGAAGAATTTTGGCACATTTCCATTTAAAAAAAACCCCAAACAACAAAAATCTCTTGAGCCAGCATGAATATAAAATATAATATTTCTCAAATAACTAACTAGAACATTCACATTCTCACACTTTTAGATTAAAACCATAGACTGCAAAAATAACTTTATAAAAAGGTATGAATATAAAATTAATTAAGCTTGATTAAGATAAGCTTTAAAGTCCTGAATCTTCAGAGTAGATACTGCTGTGATATTGAATTAGTTTAATGGCCTCTGTTGTAACACTTACACACACAAAACAGCTCACTCTTCCCCCTCCAAAAATCTCAAAACTACTAAACTTCCACAAATAATCATTTTAGGGGACAAATGGCTGGTGATTGGCAACAGGTAACTCCATTGAAAAAAAAAAGCAAACAGAACCTGATACTTGACAGTAAATAAATAGAAAGAACAAGGCTGGTTTATCTTCAATTTTGGAAGTTCTACCCATTTATTAAAACTAGTACAGCAGAGGGATGAATCAAGCAAACCATTCATAAACTAGATGATATACATCAGTTTTTCATTCATAAAGGATAAAATGTTATAAATACTGAGGGTTGAGTAAAATACCCTCAGTAAAGTACACTAAAATTAAGACACATAAGGAAATTATGACAATTAAGAGCTGTGTGAGATGTTTTTCTTTCCTCAACTATAACATGCAAATTAACTTAAGAAGTCACATAATTAGATATTCCTGATCAATAAGAGGCAATGACAGATTGCAAAAGCTGTAACTGCAATTGCACAAGTGTCAACTTCATACATTTATATTTCATTTCCATGGACAAAACATGGAAGAAAAAATAATTTATGCTGAATAAATAAGTTTTCCTAATCATTCATTCCTCAGACCAGAGACACTGAAGTGTGAGTATCCTTTCAGAGCCTGGCAGTCAGGCTTTCAGTCCTATTCCCAGTTTCCTACCTGAATTCAGACAAGTCTATCCCGTGCCTTTTCCTGTTACTTCTCTCAGTTTTTTTCCAGCTGAAGGTACAGAACTGGTCTGTTCTAACAAAAACTGCTTGTCCCTTGCCATACAGGGCAAAAGTTCTGGGCTGCTCTGCATTTTCCAGAGCTAAAAGAGGTAGACTACACAGAAGAAAACCAAAACCCCACCTGAAATCCCTCTCCTGGCACTAAAAGGAAAGTCACTATGTCTTTATTCCATATGAGAGGCAGTGACCACAGAACTTCAGGAAAGGAAGGTGGAGAAGCACAAATT